TCAAGTAAATGTGAAAATTGACATGCAATAAATATGATGCATGTACATGCCAATATGTAATATAAGAGTGGAAGAATTTCAAAGTAGGGACTAATTTCTAGACAATTTAAATCCATAAATGAGATATAGAAATTTCAAATTAGAAAAGTAGCATAAAAAGATTCACATTTTAATAGATAGATAAGAATTTCTTTTTAAATTATCTATCATTATTTATGGTTTCTCAATTATATTTTTTATGAAAAAAATTCTTGCAACCGAGGTCTAGGGTTGATTGGTAAGCTCATCACAATCAATTCAATTGCTTCCTCGTATTGCGTCGCAAATTAGTTTTGCTTTTAACGTTACTTCTTATGATATAAAATTAATAAATCATATTCACTTGAAAGGTCAACTTGCGAAATTTAATTTTATTATTTAATCTTCCTTATTTAGATTATATCTGAATAGATTCTAAACTTTTTATTAAACTATTCTCTTTACCATCACTATTTTAATTCTCATAGCAATATATATGAAAATTGACCTACAATAAATATAGTGCCTATGTGTGCTAATCTTTAATATGAGTCCAAGAAATTTTAAAGTAAGAGCCAATTTTTGGACAAAATAGCATAGCCTTAGTATGGAGAGTATAGCTGCTTCTAGTACTTGATAGTCTTTAACTTTTCACTTTAAGCAGGAAACAATTTTCATAGATACTAGTTTTTACTTTTTGATCCACAAAATTATCATACCAACCAAAGTAATAACGCAAAAGACGATCTTTTATGAAATCTTTAAAGTATAGTTTCACTCTAATAAGAGTATTAGTCAGTTCAAGAAATATAATGATAAAAATAGAGTATCATCTCAAGATTAATTATTAAGTACCAAAATTAACTAATTTTAATTTTATTTGAACAATTATAATTAAATGACTTGAATAAACTAATTAACTAAACTAATTAAAGAAAAAAACTAAATTGACTTTTACGTAAAACCAAGAGTTAAAATTCTAAGATATTCGATTTTATCATAATTAATCAATATAAAATTTAAATTAATATATTTTCAAGGTATTTATTATTCATATGAAGTGGGATTTTTTACTCTATTGAATATACTTTTTCAAGTTATATTAAATTTATCTTCACCTATTAATTCACTATATTTTTATGTGAATTTAAATAGATAAAGATGCATTGTATTATATGAAATTCTCTAGTTTACATAGAAAATTAAGTCCACTTATCACTAGAGTTGCACAAATCATGTTAGTCCATCTTTAACTTTCGTTGAATTCATGATATATATTACTAGAAGTTATTGTATAAAATCTGCTCTTAGTCTCAATTATACTCTCCGAATCAATTTTAATGGTGATAAATCATTAAAAAGTATTAAGAATAATAATATTTATTTTTTATAAAATAATAAACTTTGAAAGCTTAAAAGTCATGAAATTCTATACTAAATTGATCAGGCTATATTGTAGTCTTAGATGGTTAAACTAGTTCATAATTAAAGAAAAAAAAGTCAAATATCTCATAATAAATATAAAAATATTCAACATCATAAAAAAAAATTCAAATACAAGTAAAACCAGTTTAATAATATAAGATCTTAAGTCTTGATTTTTTTTTACCGTTGAATTCCTCTTAGCCATATCTCTCTTGGTCTCCCACCAAAAGCCCCAAATCTAATTTTTGAATAGGTATTTATAAAGTTTAAGAAACCTTATTAGAAAAGAAGTAGGACTTGAGACAAAACGGAAAACTTCAATGCTGGGTGCTTAATGCATAGCGCTGATACCACTAATTACGTGTCGACACCACACCGGTGTCGGGTCTGACCTCTTTTTGAAATTTCATCAATGGTAAAATAGCAAATCTAATCTTCCAGATTTTATACAATGCACTTTGCTCCCATAACTTAAGATTCATTCATTTAGGTCCTAAAAAGGTACTTTTCTCCTTGCAATTCAGTCCCTCAACTTTCAAAAGATATTCAATTAATCTCAAAAACTCCTATAATTATGCATTTAAGTCTTTTTCTATATAAAAAATGAAAACTATGTACAATTTATTGAAAGTACATATAATCCTTCAAGTAGTAATAAAATCAAAACAAATATAATGGATTTAAGCATATAGAATGCTTATCATCATAACCATGAATAAGATAGTAGTAAAAATTTGATTTTATGTAATGCTTATATAGTAAATTATTGATAAATTGTAATCTTTATATTATTAATATATCCTTGGTGAGCCTTTATTAGAGAAAATATATTAAAAAGAATAGTAAATTTTACTGTTACATAAATAGTAAATATCTTAAAAGTATAATAATTTAATATTTATATTAATTGTTTATGATGAAGTCAAATGCTTTAATATATCATATCTTGATAAATTTTATTTTAAATTGTTATTTTTTAAAATTAGTTTTAATTAAAATTTCTCTCTTTTTTTGTTTAAATAATTTTAGAATTAGTTATGGTAGAATACCGAAATCCACCCCCAAAGTATATTAGTAAGGACGGATCCACCCCTAAACAGAAAATAGAGGCAAATCCACCTACAAAGTTTTCAATTTGGACAAATCACCCCAACTTAATGTATGATGTCATCTGACATCAGCAATCCGTTAATTTGATGTCATCTAACATTAGCAATCCATTATTAGTGACATAACAAATTAACGGATTACTGATGTCAAATGACGTCACACGTTAAATTTGGAGTGATTTGTCCAAGTTGAAAGTTTTGTGGGTGAATTTATCCCTTTTTTTGTTCAGGGGTGGATTCATTCCTACCATTATACTTTGAGGGTGGATTTTGGTATTTTTCCATTAGTTATTTTTTATATTTAATTAATTATAATTTTTGTAGACTCGATACTCTTCTTATTACTATATTACTTTATTACTTAAGTGGCTAATACATTTGCTAGTAAATTTTAGTGCATCAATTTAATTTTCTTAGGATAATGTAGCATGAATCTCATCTATTCGTTTTTTGCAAAGTTCTAGTGAAATTGAAAATTAATATAAAGCATTGATACATACATCACTTTCTAATCACAATAATAGTTCATATGCAAACATCGTCTATCACAAGCGTGATGTAATTAATATCAATTAAAACCTCAAGAGGAAAAAAAAAAGGGTCGTTTTACAACTTGAACACCAAGGCATTGATGAAGACTTGAATCAAGTTGTAAAACACCAAGGCATTGATCAAGGCATTGATGAAGGCATTGATCAAGACATTGATGAAGACTTGAATCAAGTTGTAAAACACCAAGGCATTGGTCAAGGCATTGATCAAGGCATTGATCAAGACATTGATGAAGACTTGAATCAAGTTGTAAAAGACATTGATGAAGACTTGAATCAAGTTGTAAAACACCAAGGCATTGATGAAGGCATTGATGAAGGCATTGATCAAGACATTGATCAAGACTTGAATCAAGTTGTAAAACACCAAGGCATTGATGAAGACTTGAATCATAATACCACGACCAAAACGCAATCAAGTCTTTTGTTAATGTGAAAACTTGTCTTGTCAGATAGATCAAATCAAAACAATGAATGTAGAAAAATTAAAGGAGATTATTTTCTCATGAGTTACATTTGCAAAGAGTGAAAGACTTGGGTGTTAAAACCCCAATTTGGTCCTTTACTTTGACAAAAAGCCTTTTTTTAATCTTGTTACTGAAAAAACCCCTTTTTAGTCCTTAAAATTTGAAATTTGATCTCTTTTTAATCCCTTTATTAAGTTTTGACATTAGATGATAGAAATTTCAAAAGAAAGGGACCAAAAAGGGCTTTTTTTTCTAAATACATGGACAAAATTGAGGCTATTTTTAGCCCCCTTTTGGTCCCTCTACTATGAAATTTTTGTCATCTAAAGTGTCATATATGTAAAACCTAATGGATGGACTAAAAAGGAGTTGGATTTCAAACATTAGGGACCACAAAAGAGTTTTTTTAAGTAAAAGGACTAAAAAGGATTTTTTACCAAAATAAAGGGACCAAAATGGATATTTAACCTCTCCTTCTTTTTTTTTTGGCTAGTCATAAACTTTCTTCTCTAATTAAAACTACGGATTTTAAAGATGATGAACATATGTTTTCACTTAATTGATTATAAATTTTGTAGAAAATTAGTTAGTTTTCTATTCATAATTCATAATTAGGTTTAAATTAAAACAATAATGATAACATAGATCTAAATCTAATTTATCAAAGACTTTATTTATAACCTTCTCCTTCTTTGATACATAGAATACATCTTTGTCCTTTTTTAATAACCATTCAAATTCATTTTAAAAGATAAAAATGTAAAAAATAACAAGTACATGAAGTTTAGAATGAGAATAGTAGAAAATGACTACAGTACATGATTTTCTCACCCCATTTAGAGCAAGTGATTGTAAATTATATTAAATAATCTTTTAATATGAATATTTATCTACTAATATTTGTTATATATATGTAAATATATTAAGAAATTTAAATAAATAATCTTTTTAAATTATTAATTCTAATTTTTAAGTAAATAAATACTTTTTTTTTACATTATGTTCTGACAAAGGCAAAAACTTATTACTGATATTCAAATTATTAGTTGAAATCATGTTAATAATGTAATTATAATTTCTCCATCTAATTTCAAAGTAGTAAATAAAAGAGAAGTCAAAAAGTAGATTTGAAAATAATATCCACCATGGATCAATATTACATTCTATATTCATTTATTTGTATTTTGATAGAATATATTCAATTATTAGTATATCTCAATTTGGAACACTCTATATATACTCTTCTATAGTACTCCATTCTACCGAACAAAGATATATGGGGTTCTTCACAATGTTCTCTACACGACTCTGCCTCTTTTTCTTCATCCTCTGTCTTAAAACGACCTTCTCATCCTCTTTACATGCTTCTTCCTTTTCAACAACACAGCTCTGCTCTCATGAGGAGGCTTTTGCTTTGCTGCAATTCAAGACTTCCTTTTCCATCAATAACACTGCTTCTGATCCTGATAGATGTAATACTTACCATACCAAACCTTATTATAAGACTGAGTCTTGGAAGGAAGGTATAGGTTGCTGTTCCTGGGATGGGGTTAGCTGTGATAATGTCACAGGTCATGTAATCGCTCTTGATCTCAGTTGTAGTTTCCTCTCTGGCACCTTTCCTTCCAACAGCACTCTTTTTCTCCTCAAAAACTTGCAGAGCCTCAATCTTTCCTTCAATGATTTTAGGCTTTCCAAGATTCCACCAGAAATCAGTCAGTTTACTAGACTAAAGCATCTTGATATCTCTCATTCTCAGTTTTCGGGCCAAGTTCCAGCAGAAATTGCTCACCTACCCAAGTTAGTTTCTCTCAATCTCTCTGGTTACGACTATTTTGGTTTTCATAAATTGATCTTTGAAACAACTACCTTGAGAAATCTTGTTCAGAACTTAAGTGAGGTGAGAGAACTTGTGCTTAGTGGAGTGAACATGGCATCTGTTAATCCTCGTTTCTTCATGAATCTTTCTTCTTCTTTGACTACTCTTGATCTTTCGATGAGTGGGTTAGGAGGAAACTTTCCCAATAGTATTTTCCGCTTTCCAAATCTCAACATTTTTTATTTAGTTGGAGAGGGAGCCCTCACTATTGATCTTCCAAGTTCCAATTGGAGCAGTCCTCTCCAAGATTTGGATTTAGATGTCATGGATTGCGGAAGGCGATTGCCAGAGTCTATAGGAGATCTAAAGTCATTACAGTATCTAGGTCTTGGCTGCAACTTGGAAGGTTCCATTCCAACATCACTTACAAAGCTCACACAACTTCGGTCACTCCAACTTTCAAGTAATCACTTTTCTGGTCCCATTCCAGCTTCCATAGGGAACTTATCCCAACTTACTGTTCTAGACCTCAAATTTAACATTCTTAGCCGACAAATCCCATCATCACTTGCAAACCTCACACAACTTACAGTACTTGACCTTTCAGACAATCACTTTTCTGGTCCCATTACAGCTTTCATAGGGAACTTATCCCAACTTACTATTCTGATGCTCTCTTTGAACAATCTTAGCGGACAAATCCCATCATCACTTGCAAACCTCACAGAACTTGGCCTGCTTCTCCTTTCAAATAATCAGTTTTCTGGTCCCATTCCTTTTCATGCAAGTAGGTTTTCCAAACTAATGTATCTAGACTTATCTTATAACTTACTTAATGGCACATTGCCACCTTGGATTTTCACCCTACCTTTGTTAGAGCTCTTGCAACTCAGTAATAACCAATTTCAAGGTCAAATAAATCAATTCCAGCAAAAATCACTCAGACTACTAGATTTGTCAAACAATAAACTTCAGGGTTCAATTCCTAACTCAATCGCTAACTTAGTAAATCTTAATCATCTCGATTTATCATCAAATCATTTCATCATTCTTTCATACAATAATCTGTCCTTGAGAATGAATGTTCATGCCAACTTCACATTACCCGAACTAACTGATGTTTTCTTGTCTTCTTGTAACTTGAGTGAATTCCCCAATTTCTTAAGACATTCAGATGGTCTGCAAATCCTAGTGCTATCCAAAAATAGCATTCCTGGAAATGTTCCTGAATGGATATGTGAAAAGGATGATCTCTTCATTCTTGACCTTTCTCATAACAATTTAAGCGGGAAGATTCCAAATTGTGTTCTTGAGTCTCTCTCAGTGTTGAATTTGCAGGACAATTACTTTGATGGAAATATACCATTTGGGTTTCCAAAGGGCTGTGGATTACAAAATCTCAACTTTCATGGAAATCAAATGGACGGGTCATTACCAAGGTCTTTGGTGAACTGTGGCGAGTTACAGGTTCTAGACGTTGGCAACAACAACATAGAGGATACATTTCCTCATTGGTTGGAATCTCTACCAGACCTTCAGGTGCTTATCTTAAGGTCCAACAAGTTCCACGGTTCTGTGCAGGGCACCAAAGAAAGTCCGTCTTTTCCCAAGTTACGAGTTCTGGACCTCTCCAACAATGATTTTCTTGGTCCTTTGCCTGTTTGGTACATTGAAAATTTTAAAGCAATGATGGACTCTCATGGAGAGGATGGTTCTCCTAAGTACATGGAGGTGTCCATGGGACTCAATTCTTATCTATATTCACTGGATGTGACAATGAAGGGATTCAACTATGAGCTGCAGGGAATCTTGATCATATTCACTAGCATTCATCTCTCAAATAACAAGTTTCAAGGAGAAATTCCTGATGTAATTGGAAAGCTTAGTTCTCTCAAAGGGCTTAATCTTTCTCATAACAACCTTAGTGGTCCTATCTCACCATCACTAGGGAATTTGTCGAATCTTGAATGGTTGGATCTCTCTTCCAACGAGCTGGCAGGAAAAATTCCAGATGAATTGGTATCGTTGACACAACTTGAAGTATTGAATCTTTCAAATAATCATCTTGTCGGACGCATACCACAAGGCAACCAGTTCAACACTTTTGGAAATGATTCTTATGAAGGAAACCTTGGACTGTGTGGATTCCCATTATCAAAATCTTGTTATGGAATTGGAAGCCCGCCAAGCTCCTTCCAAGAAAAAGCTGAGTTCTGGAGATTTGGCTGGAGAGTTGTGGTGTTAGGCTATGGATGTGGAGTTGTTTTTGGACTGCTGTTGGGATATCACGTCTTCAGAACAGGAAAACCAAAATGGTTTGTGTCTTTGTTTGTTGGCCAACCAAGTCAAAGTAGAAGGAAGATGAGGAAAGCCAGAAGACTTGTTCAAAGAAGAAGTTAGTTGCAGAGTTGGTGTTTTAGACCTTCTGATTTAATGTTTCCTGAATAAGTGCCCTTTGGGTTTGATGTTTTTGTTATGGTTGGCAATGGTTTGTATAAAATTGTCAATCTTCTCTTCCCTTGATGGTTTGTAATTTTGTCTTTCTTTATTGTAAAACGTTATTGAAGGTTTAAGCTGTGAATATTTCTTATGTACTTCCTTAAGCCAGTTGGTATCAAATTGGCAACGAAGGTATGTCAAGTTTCGTTCTTTATAGTTTTGTTCTTGAGATATCCATTAGCAGAGTCATAAAAATTCTTGTTTTACATTGTTTGGCTGAGGGGGAAGTTTGAATTTTGAGATGGGATTTTGATGGAATTATCTCATAATCGTGGAATCTGGATTTTGGGATGGTTATCAGGTTATCATCTTAGGGATATAACCGTAATTGTAAAACTGGGAAGGGCAAGTCCAGTGATTTCGGCTTCGGTCCCTCTCTCCCACTTGCTTTCAGCAACATCTTCCTTCCACACAACACAGAACCCAACTGGAAGTAGAATTCCCTTTGGCGAGATGAAGGGACATTATCAGCATCACAGACTCATTTCAATTTCACCTCTTTAGGGTTCCTCTTCTATTATGAATCCCAACTCCTCCGTTCCATCTGCAGCAAATCCATCAATACCCGTATTATCTTCCCTCAACCTCTGTTTTTATCTCATCACCTAGCATGCACAGTTCCAACAGGAACAAGGGGAGTAGGACTGAGAAAGGGAATACAATTTTGGGTTTTTTTTTTTTTTTTTTGAAGTTTTTAACATTTTCCTTCAGCTATAACTATTGTGGGGGGTTTTGGCACCTGAATCCGCTGTTATCAATCGATCCTCCTTCATTTCCGAATCCAAGTGTTCCTCTTTCGTGCAACACAATCGAAATTTGAAATGCTCAATAAAATTTGCGTCCAAAAGTAATCACTTCCCAGGTCGTGTAGTCTCCAGTTGTTTCAATCCGTCCATTTTTGTGGAATTTACAGTTTGTGATTGCGGAGACCTGGCTTTGTTGGCAGTGGAGCTTATCTGAGATCGTTAAGTGAG